TGACTCTCAGAGTAGCTCCGAGTCCTTAATGACTTATTATATCTTTGCAAGTCATCATTTTCCAAAAAAGGTGTTTTGTGATAGTTACTGCTTCTCGGGATTCTGCAGCATCATGCCAAAGCACTTAATTCACTCTTGGCCTGAGCCTGGGTGATCAACAACGTACGGCTGACTAATCATGGATGATTTCAGAGCAGGGGAAGGCTTGGAAGAGTCCATCAGAGCCAAGAACCAGCAGTGATGGAAACTTACAAAAGGAGGGGCCAGTTCGAGATAAGCAGTTTGTCTGCATGTTCATAACCAGCTCTGCCATTATCAGGACTGCGGTGACCCTTCCATACACCTTAGACAAAAGCACAGAGTTTGAACTCAGAAGCAAGCTATTGCAGAGGCAATTCCTTGGGGATGTACGGATATATGTACCTTGGCTACCCTGGGATAACTGTATGGTGGATATGCATGAGTGTGTGTTTGTGTGGGCATAGGTGTATGTTTGTGTACACGCATGTCAAGGCCAAAGGAAGTCTTTTCTAATTCATGTCCACTCTCTTCATTGAGGCGGGGCCTCTCTATGGAACCCTAGAGCTCACGGATACCACTAGTCTTGCTAGCCAGCCTGCTCCAGGATACCCTGTCTCTACTTTGACAGGATACGGCCTACCCAGCATTTATGTAGATTCCGGTGATCAGAACCTTGGTCCTCACACTTGCATGGCAAATACTCTACTTACTGAGCCATCACCTCAGGTAGGAAAAATCATTCTATTACACAGACTGTTAACTAATGCTGGAAAAAGACATCTACCACTTCAAGGATACTTCACTGATAGTTCAACATGTAAACCATACTGCTTGGGTAGATTAAGAGAGCCAGAACTAACTTTCTGAGAAGTTCATTCTCTTGTCACTCTCCTGACTTCTAGTTTCCACAGTCAACAGCAGCAGGCTTAACCTAAGTCCCTAGATGATGGTTGCTGTGGTTCTTTCATTCATTTTCAGAGGAGCCTTTAAGTAAGAGTTAAAATATCAGTCACAACAATGTATCATGTAGATCATTTTACAAACCAAGCTTTCATTGTATTGCATCAGGACAAACCTTTATCTGATGATTAACCAGTCCCTCGAACTATCAGAGCATTCAACCTCCCCTGCACTTTAAGCTCTTTTTGGTTCTCAGATTTGCAAGGAGCAGACTTGTACACTCTGTAAAGTCTCCACTCAGGAGAGTTGGTTCTCTGGTGGCCAGGAGGCATCCATCCACCCTTAACCTTTTCACTTTCACAAAAATAAATGGCACACGTGACTTGAAAATTGAATCAATCTTGACAGAGTATAAAATAATAAAAACAGCTAATGTCTTCATCATTTCCTGAGCGAGCCCATCAGGCAGAAGGGTGTTGCCGTTCTTCCTCTGTTTTGTAAGATGTATGACGGCTGACTGATCCTCAATAAATATGGACGAGCGACCATTTCACAGCTACCAACTGACAAACTGGAGCACATTTTTCATTTGAGCCGCCAAGATAAGCAGGCTGCCAGGGCTCTACCATCTCTGCCTCAGACAAAGGCTGTCCCAGGCAGAAGCTGCTGGTTCATTCTTGGGTCAGCACTATGTTATTTTTAGCTCTCTGCATCTGCACAGGAGCTCAGCTTACACTCCCAGCAGCCTCCTGTCTCAGGGACCCCTCCGTAGCCCACCTTCCCTGGCATAATTTAAAGAAATGGGTACCTCCAATTAAACCATTCCAGATGGAAAGTTCTTGCCTAGAGAGCGAATTGAGAAACGAATGGGATTCATGAATATAAATTGAGCCTCCCTTACACTTCAGTTTCCATCTCAAATTGAAGGACCCCCCCCCGCCCCCATAAATCCTTATTTGCCTTAAGTGTGTTTGCTGTGGGACCCGGCGCGGAGCTGCTAGCATATTGCTATGCATAACCAAATGCCAGCTCTCACAAATCATCCCGGGATGAGGCCTGGGGAGGGAGACGTTGCATGCCGCTGCACCTGTGCACCCATGAAGGCTGTGCAGCTTTGCAGGCAGCTGTGCCCTATGTGGAGATGGGGCAGCCCCACACGCTTTGCCTGTCCTTGAAGATTACCTTCATTTTTCTACAAAGGAATTCCTTCTCCCTCCCTCGCCCCCTCCCTCCTTCCTTTCCTCCTTCCCTCACTTCCTTCCTCCCTCTCTTTCTCCTTCCCTCCCTCCCTCCTTCTACCACACACACTCTCAACATCTTTATACTCCTGTTCTTTCTCTGTTCTTTCCCCTTCCCCTTAGTTTTCCTTTAGTGATGGTGCTGGTGGATAGATCTCTTCTCAGCCACACCAGTTTATTTATTTAAGAGTGACTCTGTGGAAGGATGAGGGAGGTCGATCAGCAATCACGTAACTAAGCTTTGGACATTAGACCACTGTTCCCCCCGTTCCTCTCACCTCATCTTCTTCACGGCTCCTTCACTCTTCATGTGTTTGATTTACCTAGAGCAGTGGTTCTCAACCTTCCTAACTGTATTAAAGCTGTGACGCTTTAATACAGTTCCTCGTGTTGTGGTGACACCCAACCATAAAATTATTTTCATTGCTACTTCACAACTGCAATCTTCCTACTTTATGAATCATATTGTAAATATCTCTGTTTTCTGATAGTGACCCTTGTGAAAAGGTCATTCAACAACCAAAAGGGATCATGACCCACAGGTTGAGAATCCCATATAATGATTAAAAGATCCATTTAGATCCTGAATATTAAAAGATTGCCCTCAGTTTTCAGGCAGAGATAGGCCTCTCTTACAATACTCCCAGTGGCCTGACCTTGACAGTGAGTTCACATTGCCTGCTCTCTGTTACAAAACCAAATGGTAAGGGAGAATATAGCTCATAAATGATCGTAACTCTCCCACAGCCATATCAAGTTATTTTCTTATGTTCGCTACAAAGAGCTCAGATGAAATGGTAAAATAGTCTCAGATTGTCTTTTCAGGAAATGTGTCTTTTGTGTATGTAGGTCCCCCCCCCGCCATGTGTGTGTGTGTGTGTGTGTGTGTGTGTGTGTGTGTGTGTGTGATTCTTCAGGTGTTACCACTTTCCTTTTTAATTTAGGGCCCTTCAATGGCCTGGATCACCCTCAGGCTCGGCCGGAAAGACAGCGACCCAGGATCTCTGCCTCCCTAGCTCTGAGTTTACAAATGCCTGTCCTCATATCCAGATTTGCTTCTTTTAAACAATAATTCTACGGGTTGATCTCAGGTCCTCCTGCTTGCAAGGCATCTACCCCCTGCCAGACCTCCCGATGTAAAACTTCACGGCCGCTGAATACATGAGTTAGAATGGATGGTGCAGATACTAAAGAGCTCAGAAACCATTCTAAAAGAAAATGGACTTAAACACCTCTGCACCCGAGACCTTTTGAGAAGTAGTGTTTAAAACCTTTGCAATAATAAACAGGGTGTGCAGTGGGAATAAAAAGTAAGAGGACGCACAAGGATAAAAGGTGACTTTAGAAACAGGCACTGAGCAGACCTCCATTCTGGACCTATCCCAGCTTGTTATCTCCTGCCTTCCTTACCAACACTTTGCTCCAAATCGATCTGGAGAAGAGGGCTGGGCTTTTAACTCAGTGACTTTCTGCAACCATGTTCCCATAATTATTTCTCATAGAAATGAAGAAGTATATTTATACAGCCAAGTATTTGCTTCTACAAAGGGCTATAATTTTATCTTTTCTCACTATGAAGTCACAGCATTCACAAGTACTCAATATGTGACATTTATTAACAATGTATGCACATTCTGTGTTCTCATTTCATTTTTAGAATCAGGTTGTACAACTTCTCTCAGTGTCTGTGTTAAGAGTCTCCTCCTTCATCCTCAATTTCTCGGTGTCGTACATTGTATAAGCTCTGGACACACCTTATTTTACAGCAGGGGCTGAAGCTGTGTGTTTATTTATTACTGTATCAACCTATATAAAATTGTAACTTTCTTCAATGTTTATAAGAACGGTTCTTTATCATTATTTACAATGCATTTTGAACTACCTGTTTTGAGGACAAGAATGAATAAATCAAATCTGCTCTATCACTTAGAAAAAGAAAGAAAAGAAGGCCAATTAACAAATGAACAAAAACATATAATTTTAAAAAATACTGTATTCTATACTATCCCATATGTATTCATGGCTGTTTATTGGGTATTTTACTAGAATGTTCTCTTAGGAGTGAATTGTTGAACAGAATAAAGCTACAGTATACTCTTCTCTGCTGAGGCATTTTCTCCAGTGGATGTTTCATTGTTCAGCACAGGGAGTCGTTTTGTTCGAGTTGAACATGACCAAGCAGACTATGTAAAAAGACTGTTTGGCAGGATCTACATACATGACACTAGCTTGGGAGACTGGGAAGCTAAGGGAAGCAGTCATTTAAACTAAAACATGTGTAATCATCTGAAATTAGTGAGACCGTTGAAGAAGCCAAACAGGAATGCTGTAATTTATGATGGCAAGAGAGGACTCTGTGTAATGAAGAATTAATCATAGCCACATATGTTCCTTGGATGAGTCTGTGTAACAATAAAAATACCAGGTTTTCATTAGACTATTCTATGTAACAATAGAAATGCCAGGCTTTTTTTTTTTTTTTTTTTTTTTTTTTTTTTTTTGAGTATCCTCTGCAGCATTGGAAATGTCAGAGGGTTTTCACTGGACCACTCTTTATAACAATAGAAATATTAGAAGCTTTTTCTTGAACAGTTTTATGTAGCAATGGAAATGTCAGTAGACCTTTTGAAACCATGCTATTGTCCGTGTCTTGAGATTCTTTCAGAAAACTTTTCATTCCCAGGAAACAGACACCTGGATAGCACAATCACCGCATGGAAACTGTGAAGTCCGAGACTCATGAGTGCTTGCACCTGAGCAATGCCACAAGCTCTCTCTGTTCCAGCCTCTTATAATCCATTCAGAAGGCTCTTTTTTTTTCTGTCTCTCTTACCTTTGCAGGTTACCAGCCAGTCTTGACTGGTCAGCAGGGCTTCCAAGGCCTGATGGGAGTACAGCAGTCCCCTCATGGCCAGGGTGTGATGAGCAGTCAGCAAGGAACCCCAGTGCAGGGCGTGATGGTCTCCTACCCAACCATGTCTTCTTATCAGGTGTGTGCCTGCAGCTGGAAAAGCCTGACCACAAGCTCCCGCTCTCCAGATTAAACACTACAGGACATTCCCTGTGATGGGCGGTTAGTAGGGTCATGGATGCCTGACCCGTCCACACATCAGTTGACTTGGATTGAGATATAGGAGAAAAAGTGTGCAGGTGCCATTCCAAATGTCTGGGCTTTCCAATGCTAAACTGAATTTGTTCCCATATAAACTTCCTATTTGTAGAAGGACATTCTTCATTAGTATTCTATACAGGGAGACGCTTTGGGCACTCTATTAAAATGATACTTGATAGAAAACCAAATATGGTTTTTTTGTATTCACTCAAGTAAACTTCCTTCTACCACAGTTTTGAGTTATCACAGATGTTTAAATGGCATCTCGGATGCATCTAAAGCACAATAATGCCAGCACGAGCCCATTCCCAGAATAGGGCAACCTGAGTCTTTAACACATGTGATGTATGCTTTCAGAGTGTCACCCGAAGCCTTCTAGGAGAAGAAATGAGGAACAAGTAAGGTTTGGTCGTTCAGTTTAGCTGTGCTGGGAGCCCTAGGTTTAAAGAAGCTGACTCACCCCTTCCACCAGGACAAAAGCCCCTCCATCCTAAAGAAGGTTCCAAGCTACTTCTTATGAAACCAGAAAGGGGAATGGTTTTGCACAGCGAGAGAAAGCTAGAGGGGCATTCAGATGCTGTCCTGGGGCCAAGAAAAAAGGCAGGAGAGGGAGAAGGGGGAGAAGGGAAGCTGACTCTGAGAGTTCACACATCGCAACATCTGCTGCCTCCTGGGATATGTCCCTGCCATACTTGCAGTGTTTATTTTTTATTTTCAACAGAGATTATACTTACCCAAATGGTACCCATCCTCCACATGCAACCCAAGGCCTACAGGCTACCTGCATTCCAGGATACCTGTGAATGAGTACAATGGATTATAAGAGATGCCACCATTCAAACAGTCAGCCAGATTGAGTGCCTTTCTCCAAGGGAAAATAACTGATAAATGATAGGCACAGGATTATGAACCTGTTAAGTCCAACTCAAACACTCAAGTGATATTTATGACACCATACCCTTCCCTGGACACATCAACACAGTCTTTTCACACAGACTTTTGCTTGTGTCTTACACAGGTGCCAATGACCCAAGGTTCTCAAGCAGTGCCCCAGCAGACATACCAACCGTCAATTATGCTGCCCAACCAGGCAGGTCAAGGGTCACTGCCAGCCACCGGAATGCCTGTGTACTGTAACGTCACGCCGCCAACCCCTCAGAACAACCTAAGGTTGATGGGTCCACACTGCCCTTCCAGCACGGTTCCGGTCATGTCTGCTAGCTGCAGGACAAACTGTGCAAGCCTGAGTAACGCGAGCTGGCAGGTCAAGTTCTGAGAGCTGGGGCTGCCTGCGGGCCACGTCGTCAGAGGGTAACTCATGGCCTTCACGGGAGGAGGAGACGCGCAACTGGCTGAGGACTTCCGTATTCACTCAACACTCGAACGACTGCTGCTGGTGTTCTGTACAAACTAATCAAAGACTAACACATACATTAGCTGGTTAATGGTGCATATCTCCATCATGTCTGCTAGGTCTGCCTTTGTAGCTCAGCTAGTGACATGAACTCATCAAGGTAAGATTTTCTCCTACCACTGAATACCACTGTGTAGATTACAATATCCCTGATTCGGATTAGTTTTGTACTTTGTGTTGAGTTTGTGATGCTAAAAGTATTTAAAATATATATAAACTAAATCACACTGTACCAAAGCTGTAATGAGAAAGAAGAGAGCTAAGGAATGGAAGGAATAATTTATATACACTATAGAGTTTTCTTTTTTTAAATGGATATATATGGTATTGTAGTGTTTAATCCAAATAAAAGCTTATTTGACCTTGTGGAGGAAGGTCATGTTTTTATCACCAGTTTGTTTCGGCCTCTCTTTCAACACGTTATTTACTTGTTTGTTCAGGATGGGCTTCATCATAACGTTTTCAGACATGTGTGGAATGTGTTTTGGTCACATTGAACCTCAGTGTTTCCTCACGCTCTCATGGTCTCTATCTTGTTACCCCTCCCTCTTCTAAATCTGCTCCCCTGAGTCCACGGCACTTTTTGCTTGCTGGTTTGTTTTTGATAAACCAATGAGTTTCATGGGAGCTCCTTACAAAAGCAAGGGTAGGGGGTTATTTACAGGAGCGTGCCCAGTGACCCACTTAGGGGGAAAGTCTCTCATCTCCCACCAACCATTAACTGCCTATAAATCCTCGGGGGGGGGAATGTTTCATATGCCTCCCCTCTCATGATAGGATGTTGACAGGCCCCATTTTGTGCAGGTAATCATAGCGTCTGTGACCTCAGTTGTGCCACACCGTGCCATGCCTGGAAGATAGTGTTCAGGACACTCCACCTTTTCCTGCAGCTCTTAGATTCTCCCATCCCATCCTCTGCGGTGTCCCCTGTGCTCTCACGGGGATGGCAGAGAAGTTTCACTTAGGACTGAACATTCCATATCAGCCTATGTTTGATTGGTGTCAGTCTTATCCTTCTGGGCATCATCTTGTGAATGCTGCATGGAAAAGTGGTCCTAGGTGTTTGGGGTTGAATGGCGTCTCTCCAAGATATGCTATAGCAAACACTTTATCATCAGTAGCCCCTTAGCTCGATAACTATTATTATAAGAATCCTGAACATAAAATGATATCCATGCCGTTGCTTTAATTATAGGAATATTGGAGGTGTATAGCTATACTGTACCTACTAGGACGTTCTAAATGTTGTTAGTGTAAGCATGCACACCCTATACCTAGTCTTCTTCTGTCTTTATTGGAGTTCAGCTGTGTACCTGATGATAAATTTATCTATAGTAATATTGAAGAGCTACAGTCAGATTCCTCCTGTGATTCTAGACTGTGAACTCCAAAATACCACTGGTTTTGACAGCAAGTCAACAACTCAAAGGTGCTGACATTTGTCCTGGTGACTGACGAGGAATGTATATGGCAATGATCAAATCACAAAGGCTAGAACATCTGTACACAGATATAACATGGCTCTCCAGTCCCTCCATGTATAATTCCCTATGGGGCTCATAGTTAGGACAACATTTCAAAAATAATAACTGAACTCCAGACCCTGAGGACTGGCCCTTGAGAAAATGTTTATCTGAGGCAATAAAACCTCCTAGCTTTCATCTTAATACCACTGCATACTAATTGCTTCATGGCTTATATTTCCTGCTGGAAATTTGTTATGGGAATGGTATCAGGGAAATTCTCATTGGTTTTCATATGATCCCATTTTCTACATGGGGATTTTCCATTTTCATGTTGTTTAGCTCTCGGTAGAGTTAAGCACTTAAACACCCTGCTTAGTGGATTATCATCTCTCTCTGTCTATCGTTTTTCTTTTCCCTTTCAAATGGAGCTTTTGTGCTATTGCAATTAAGTTCACTCCTTGTGAAGTCTGTTCTATTTTCCCATATCTGGGTCTACTTATTTTTTCATCAAATTAATCCCTGACCATGAAAAGTGTTTATATATATGAATCTCTTTTTTTAATTGAGCCATTGAACCAATACCTACACTGAGGACAGAATATGTTTCCAGCTAATCTCTTTCCCTTATGGAAGAAGGGTCTTGATAAATATGGATTCACTTTTTAATTACATTTATTTATCATATTTACTCATGTTTGTGTGTGTGTGCGCACGCGCGTGCTCACACACATTCTCTGGTGCACATGTGAAAGTCATAGTATGACTTCTTGCAGGAGTCACTTTCCTCCTTCTACCATTGGGGTTCCAGGGATGGAGCTGAGCTCTCCCACTGATGGCAGGCACCTTCACCCTCTGAACCATCTCACCAGCCCAGATCTGCTTTTCAAATACATTCTCTATTTAGCCTTCATGTTGATTCTAAGTCAAATACCAGTTCTGAATTGGAATGCTTGCCTTCATTCCATAGAACTTTGGGAAATTTGGGTCTTCGTTTCATGATTCCTAGAACTGCTGAGCCTCTTGCTTCTGTGGATTTAAACCTTATACATGCTAATGGTAAAGACAGGTTTTATATTTATATATGATTTTTCCAATGTTGTTTAATGCCAAACATTCTTTCCACCTTCCTTCGCTAATTTTTCTTTTTTGAGACAAGTCTTACCATGTAGTTATGGCTGTCCTTGAACTTACTATGCAGACCAACTTGACGCAAACTCAAAGAGATCTACCTGCCTCTGCCTCTGCCCCTGCCTTTCTTGCTGGATTAAACACAGTGTACCTCCATGCCTTGCCTCTAGTATTTTCTTGCAGTAGAATATTTAAATTGGCTATGTAAAATGATGGTTTCTTAAGTGAAGCATATTCAAAATTTAATTTATTGTCAAGAGAACATTCAAAGTGTTTTTCAGCTCATTTAATAATTTTATCTTCATCATATTTTAATTATAGATGATTTGGCTTATAAGCTTAGGTGAAGATATTAATATACAGATACTTAGAAAAATAAACACATGGGTAAATAATTAAAGTCATCTCTAATGATCTCCTACACCTCTGTGTAAATATAAAGGAGAACACTGATGACTTACACAAACTTTTATTACATGGTTGACTACATCCTAGTTATTCAGGACCATTGAAAACAGGAGTAGAAATGCACTGAGGTGATTTGCCTTACTCTTGTGGATTTTTTCTTGACAGTGCTCTGATAGTAAATGTTCCGACTCACAGATCATGGTGCTGCTGTTTTAACACACTTCTGAGGGATATGAGGAGAGGCAGGGATGTGCCAGCATTAGACAAATAAGATTACGTAACTGTGACTACAGTTTGAAGACTGAAATAGAACTGTAAATCACCATTAGCAATGTGAGCCCTTTGTGGAAAACACATTTTTAAAAGAACGACTTAGAAAATCAAATACAGTGAGGGGGAAGCAACAGAGATGGAGTTCTGAGCTTTCATAGAGGGCGTATTGAGAAGCTGATTCTGCTTTTGACAGTAGTAAAGTTGTGACTGAAACGTGGGCACTCCACACTCTTCCTCCTTCTGTAGCACACACAGGTCCACGAGGTGCCCATGGCTGCAGCTCCACCATTCACTTGCTCCCTGGGACTTATATCGCAGGTGCCTTGATCACTTACAAACCAAAGTTAATACTGAAGATGCCTCACGTTCAAAGTAAAGCTGAAATAGATCTTTGGGGATTCTACAAATATAGTAGCGATGATATTTAAATAAATGGAAAATACGTGTCTTATTACTGAAAATATTTTGGAACAGTTTTTTTTTGTTGTTGTTGTTTAAATCTGTGTACTTGTGATGTTTGAGGTAGGGGCTTGCATACATGCTCCCAGTTTTAACATGCTAGGCATGCTGGCTCTCACCAAGCACTGGAGGAGGCACAGGCAAGCAGATCCCTGAGTTAAAGCCCGTAAAATAATAAAGCATGCATATGCGCACCATGGCATATGTGTGGGCATCAGAGGGCAACTCCAGGAGTCAAGCCTCACCCTACATATCGAGCCTGGGTCTCCAGCTCCTTGCTGAGAGTGATGGGCTAGCTTATCCGGGAGCTCCTGGGGACTCTCCAGTGCCTACCTCCACCCTTGCCATCTAAACGTGGAAGTGCCGCAATTACAAACGTGCAATATCACATAGAGCTTTATGTGGGCCTTGGGGATAAAACTCGGGTCCTCACACTTGTGCAGCAAGCAATGCAACCACTGAGCATCTCCTTGAACCCAGAACGTTTCCTGCCCCATGCTACTTACAACTGCCATGTGAAATAGGTGGTTTCTAGGGCAATTATAGAGAGGAAAAGGTGATAAAGATGAACATTGTTTTCATATTGTTAAAAGCTATATTATTTCTGGAAACCTTTAACATATTAACTTATAAATTTCTAAAAAGCAGCCATAATTTTCATAGTTTTGCCAAAAAGTCACTTTCAGTCACAGACTATATCAACAGATTAATTTTAGCTTGTCAGTAGTGGCGCACGCCCTTAATCCCAGCATACGGGAGGCAGAGGCAGGCAGATCTCTGTGAGTTTGAGGCCAGCCTGGTCTACAAGAGCTAGTTAGGCTCCAAAGCTACAGAAAAACCCTGTCTCGAAAAATCCAAAAAAAAAAATGAAAAGAAAAAATATGAGGAGCCAGTTACCGAAGGAGCTGGTGAGATGGCTCAGCAGGTAAGCACACCTGCTGCTGCTCTTCCAAAGGCGCTGATTTTGGTGTCAGCATCACCTGGCAGCATACAACCATCAGTAACTCTGATCCTAGGGAATCTGATGCCTCCTTTGAACTCCCTGAGTACAAAGCATGCTGATAATATGCAGACATTCATGTGGATTAAAAACAACACACATTCTTAAACAGGTGTGTGTGTGTGTACATGTGTGTGTGTTATAAGCCAGCATGGTGTATCACATCCAACACCAAAGAAGACAGAGGCAAGCACCTCTCTGACTTCAAGCCCAACCTAATCTACAAAGTGAGACCTTGTCGTGTGTGTGTGTGTGTGTGTGTGTATTGATAGATACAGATAAAGATATAGATAGGCAATTCATATTTGCATATATTTGTATCATACATTTATGAAAATCCTAAAAGAGTAGCCTATTTAGAACTCAGTGGCGACCATGTTCCATCTCTAAATACAATGCCACAGCCCCACTCCTGACAGCTTTTGGCATTGCCACGTTTGCACCACAGCATGGTGCATGAATCTGGAAGGAATTGTTGTAACATCATACTTCTGGTTTGTCACCATTAAATTCTTGACGATGAAGGACTCTCCATTTCTGTCTATCGTCTGTAGTCACATAGGTAAAAAGTGTGAGAGTATTGTTGTCCCTAGTGGTTCCTCACACACATGTGATCAAATGCAATGACAGTGATTTAGGGTATAATTTCTTCACCA